CGTATACAGAAAAAATAACTAGGCAATAACTTATACTTGTCAATGGCACTGATTTGTATACTGGAGTTAGGCATTATTCCCTGGACGCTCCTCCACGATTGGAGATACGTATATTTCTTTTTCTAAATTTAAAATTAGCGGTTTATTTTAGGACTTCTGTAACTTGCATATAAATTAGTTACAGTTTTATCTAACAGATGCCACTAAAATACCATTTTAACATATACTTACCAAGTATATGCATTTTAATGAAAATGTGGAGTTACCTGATTTTCTCCTGAAGGCGACGATATACAGGGTGTTTCTTTTAACTTGAGACTGTTCAATATCTCGAGTAATAAGCATTTCACGGAAAAATGTCTTAAATAAAAGGTTAATGTGACCAAAGGGCACATTATTTGATGCTACCTCTAGCCACCCCTACCCCTCCTTAAGGGTGAAACAGGGGTAACTTTAGAAAGTCAAATGGAATGACCCGATTTTTTCCACAGATTTTGCTAGTACATAAAAAAATTAATAACTTTTATTTGAAACTTTTTTCAATTTATCAACAGATGGCGCTGTAATTCAAAATTTAAGAAAATTGGGTTTCCTTGTAAAATGTATTATTTGAAACGTTTGAAAAACAAAAATTAACATTAAATCAAAAATAGTCGGCTCTGAAAACAATTTATAACAAATGTTCGAAATGTCGCCCTTCCATTTTGACTCAAAATTTTTGAGACATTTTTGAATGCGGGTAATGAATTCTGGCACCCAACGCTCCAACATGTCGGGCGTTATCGCCGCACAGGCGTTCCGGATCCGCTCCACCATGTCCTCCCGAGTTGTAGGAATTGCAGAGTAAACTTTTTCTTTCAAGTAACCCCACAGGAAGAAGTCTGGTGGCGTAAGATCAGGTGATCGAGCAGGCCAACTTACTGGACCACGTCTACCGATCCACCGGCCATGGAACTCCCGATCCAACACCTCTCGAGCAATTGCCGAATAATGCGCAGGACAACCATCATGCTGGTACCACATGTTTTGGAGCCGTGCTAGTGTTACATCCTCCAAAAGGTCCGGCAGATCGTTTTCAAGAAAATTCCGGTACTTTCGCCATTTAATGCACCGTCAATAAAGAAGGGTCCGATTAATCGTTCGCCAAAGGTACCGCACCAAACGTTTACCGACCAGGGACGCTGGTGCTCCACTTGGTGACGAAATTTTGTTATAAATTGTGTTCAGAGCCGACTATTGTTGATTTAATGTTAATTTTTGTTTTTCAACAGTTTCAAATAGGGGCGGGGTCGGTTCTTTTTTCAAAAAACCCATTTTTTATTTCCCAAACGGCTTTAATGAGCCAGTTCATTCTACCCTAGATTTTTAGGTACACTTATCCTCGTAACGAATCCGTAGTTTTTTTTAAATTAATTTCATTGCAAGTGCCCCACAAATATTAAAGTTTTGAAAAAAAGAACAACCTGTACAAAGAAAAGCAGTAACTTTTGAAAAAAGTCTACTACCTCAAAAAATCGTCCATTCGGTTATGTTTGATTAACGTAAGGTTTGGGATCGATTACTTTTAAAATTGGGCTATAATAAAAAAAACAAAAAAGTGATTTTGAAAGCAACGCTCAACTTTGCACAATGCGCATAGCAAAAGGGGCCCTTTTAAAGGGCACATCATATATGTGCGCAATGGGGTTTAACGTGTGCCTTATTTGGTACATAATCAAAAATATTAAAGATAAAATTCTGAAATATGAGCCAAAAAGCAAAAAAACTCCCCTTTCGGGGGATGAAATTAGGGGAAGCGGAAAGAAATTTTTAAGGAATATTCTTGATTCATTATCAGCACCCCTGCCTATACATAAAAAAAAATAATACCTGACTACCATCGAGTTTTCCTTCTACAATCTTTGTTTCCTGGACTTAATATTAATATTAATATTAATAAATACACAGTACAACAGTGCAAAAGGGAATGGAATGAAACCTATAGCAAATGAAAGGCAATAACTTTAACAACAAAAACCTATGAGGTTTTTTTTAGATCACGTCTCAGTTTTTTATTATACGCATTTAAAGTTTGTAGATTTTTGGACACCCTATAGTATGAAAAAATTAAGTAAAACAATTTTAATTTTTTAAAATTATTCTGGCAATATAGTCGAGGAATCCATGTTTTACGTTAATTTTTACTTAAGATCCACAGGGGCTGTCACACAATTGTTGCTATTTTAGTATTTTTATTATTTTTGAGGCTGAGAAATCCATTTTTGTTGTAAATGTATGTATGTATACCCTTGATGATTTTCCATGATTCATTACTTATAAAGAGCATTTTTATTAGAAAATTTGGCATTTTTGTTAAAAAAAATATTCTCTTTAATGCTTTAACGAAAAAACATGTTATTATTTTTAAATCCGTAAATTTATTTATACTTAAAAACAATACAATATATTACTACAAAAAATTGTAGTTTTTGTGGAAAAAACGACGTTGTTTAAGGTAAAATTGATTTGCTTACTTAAAAACACACAGTAAATCAGTGACAGCAATATAAAGCGTTCTTCTTAATTAATAAAATTAATTTAACTTATTAAAGTTAAAAATGAATGAATGCTTAAAGCATTTAAAATATTTTTGTTATATTTGTGGACAATATAATAGAAAACAAAACTTAGTTATATGAGAATGTAAAACAATTGTACCTACAATATTACGGAATACATATAATTGAAAATGTTAATTGGGTGCCTAGAAAAGTTTGCAGAAATTGTAATAACAATTTAATTAAATGGTCTCAAAAGAAAAGGGAGTCAATGAAATTTGGTGTTCCAATGTTGTGGTATAATCCAGGTAATTTTTATAATAAAACATAAATTCTCTATTCGTATTTTTGATAATTTTGATTATATTTTGCATTTTTGTAAATTTTTAGATGAACATAATCAATTAGAGTGTTATGTGTGTTTAAATAATTTTAAAGGAAGAAACAGAAAAACTCGAAAAAACTTGCAATATGTTGGTACAAGATACGCAGAATTACCAAAACCACATACAGAGTTTGTTCCAATACCAAAACCAAGACGTCCTAGTGAACTTACTGGTTGTACCACTACCATTGCAGATACATTTACTTTCGAAACAGATCCTGATTTCACTCCATCTGAAACTAGTAATCAAATGATACCAATAACACAACAATGGTTGGATGAAGTGCTAAGACATTTAAATTTGTCAAAGCGAGATTCAGAATATCTAGCACAAAAACTAAAACAAAACAATTTATTACAGTCTAGTGTGAAAATAACTGGTTATCGTAATCGTCATACCATATTTCAACAATATTTTACCGCTAACGCTGAAAATACATTCGTCTACTGTAATGATATTGGAAAACTTATTACAGAAATGAATATTAATTATGTTCCTCATAAATGGAGATTGTTTATCGATTCTTCAAAAACAAGCTTAAAAGCAGTGTTGTTGTACTACAACAATAAAAAGCCAAGTATTCCAATTGCTTATAATACAAATACTAAGGAGACTTATGAATCAGTTAGAAATATTCTAGAAGCAGTAAACTATAATAACCACAAATGGCGTCTCTGCTGTGATTTAAAAATGATCTCACTGGTTTGTTTACAAGGAGGTTACACAAAAAATATGTGCTTCATTTGTTTATGGAATACTCGATACAAAGGCAATCAATACCAAAAACGTGATTGGGACAACATACATGATTATGTTATTGGAGCAGCTAATGTTATTCATAATCCTCTTATATCACCAGATAAAGTATTACTACCACCGCTTCATATAAAATTGGGTATTTTCAAAAACTTTGTTAAAGCCTTGCCTGTAGAAGGACAAGCTTTTACTACATTAAGATCTAAATTTCCACGACTTAGTGCTGCTAAAGTAAAAGAAGGTATACAAATAAAATAAATATTTTAGAAATATGTATTTACATTTTTTATTTTGTAGGTATGTTTAATGGACCTGATATAAGACGACTTATGAAAAATGATGAATTTGATTCATCATTAGATCCAAACCAACTAGTTGCTTGGCTCGCTATTAAAGATGTTATAAGTAATTTTCTTGGTAAAAAAAGAGAAGGTGATTATAAACAAAAAGTTGAAGATATGTTGAAATCATTTGAAGAACTAGGTGTAAATATGTCACTTAAAATACACTTTCTTCATTACCATATGGATTATTTTGAAAAACAATTGGCATCTGAATCTGACGAGCAAGGTGAACGTTTTCATCAAGTAGCATTGACGATGGAATCTAGATATAAAGGCAAACATCTCGATGCTATTTTAGCTGATTTATGTTGGTGGTTAAAACGAACCACCGATGAAGAAACAAGTGATGATGAATTACCAGAACAAGATGAAGCAATGGATGGGAGATCCAGTAGCTGGAACTTCTGGTACTTCAACTCGTGTTACTGCCAGTTACAGCAGTGATAGTTTTTAAATATGAATAAAATTTAATAATGTTTAGTTTAAGATATCAATTTTTTATTTAAAAAAGTATTTTTTTGTAAGAAAGACACCAGTTTTCTATCCTAATATATCAAAAATATTAAAAATTGCTTTTGAATATCACCTAGGGTATTTTACAACAAACGGATGACAAAAATGGATTTCTCACCTTCAAAAATAGTAAAAATACCAATTAACCAATGAAAATACGTAAAAAGTAGCAAAAATTGTATAATAGCGTCCTCTTCTGAGGGTAAAATTGCCAAAATTATTTTGAAAAATTAACATAGTTTTACTTAATTTTTTTCTACTTTAGGGTGTCAAAAAATTTACCATCTTTAAATGCGTACAAAAAATAACTGAGACGTGATATAAAAAAACCCTGATAGGGTTTTCTTGTGGACACTATTAACTTTCATTTGGTTTTGGTTTTATTCCATTCCCTTTCGTAAATCTTAATTTTGCGTCACAGTGATATTAATAATAATAAATAATAATAATAATAAATATTAAAATTGTTTATTAATACCTTTAAGTGCAAACCTACATGTTTATTATTTATTAAAAAAAATCGTGATAATTAATTTATTATAATTGCCAGCTGTAATGCAGCCTTAAGGCATAAGCCTTTTTACAATATTTTATAGGTCAATCTTGACGTTTATATCGTAGATATATGCTTTAGGATAGGGAACATTCTTTGACGTTTAACTATATCTTCTAATTCTTTAACACTCTCAGGAAGTTTTTCATTCAACGTTTCAGGAATAAAAAATCCTACCATCGTACCAAGAAACCCGAAAAAACTTGCAGCAATATAAGGGATTTTTGGATTTTGAACGACACCCTAAAATTAAAAAAATTATATCATTTACAAAAATTTCATTTTAATATGAAATTACCAAGTGTATAAGTGAGGGTGCCGAAATTGAAAGAATACTTCCAGCCAAAAATCCAAAACCCGCTCCACGTTGACGTACGCTAGTAGGAAATACTTCCATTGTTTGCAAGCTAATTACATAATACACTATCGAAATCGATAGTTTAAGAACCATTGAAATTATGCTTACCAACAACTGATATTGCTGATCTACAAATACTTACTTAGTTGAAGTTTGGTGTAATTTTTTAATTAATTATTTTTACCTGCTATTAGAAACACCAACATCAGACATCCTATGCTACTTATAAAAAATGCAAAAATTCTTGAAAGTTTTCGACCAAGATAATCAGACAAATATTTTCCTATTATGTATCCAGGCAGTTCTGCTAGGCTTTGCCAAAAGAAATTGGAATATGGATTTCCTTTTAAATTCGTTACGTTTAAGTACAAAATAACGTAAATCAGATTCCAACATGGCCTAAAATTATGCCCAATTGGTTATTCAGTGATTTATACAGGGTGTTTCACGTTCGTGATCCATTAAATGTTTCTGGGGAACGGCAAAAGATATCGATTTGAAATTTTTAAAGTGTTTATTTTAATTAAATCTATATTTCTAAAATATTTTGAACAAAATGACAAAGTGATATCAACTTTTTTATTTTAAATGGTACACCCCAGTGGCGGCTGGTGAATTTTGGGCACACCTATTTCTCAGTTATTAGACATGGGACCCACATCAAATTTATATATATGTGTTTATAATAACATTATAAAGACAAGTTCTGCGCAAGCAGAATTTAAATTGAAGTTTGCGAAAAAAAGTTAGTTTTTAAGTGTGCCCCCCCAGCCTCCTGCCCCCCCAAATTAAGATAATTCAAATTAAAGTGGTACAATTTAATTCAGTGAAGTTTATCGACAAATTTCAAATTTTATTATAAAAATTCAAGTATTACAGGTTATATATATTGTTGGTTTATTAAATTGTTCCAGTTATGCATTCTTTTTGTTATTAAAATACTTCATAAAATACATTTTATATTTTATTGTCTTCAATGAGCTAGTGCTCCATCTAGTTGACATCTCACAGGTTTGTTGTTTTTTTTAAATTAGAAGATTATGATTGTATTATTTTTAAATTTTAAAAATGTTTGGCTTTTCAATGTTTTTCACAAGTCACTGACTGCTATTTTTTATCTGTAATTTTGTTTACAAAACACTTAATTAGACAACAAGTTGTTTATAACAACCTGAAAAATTGACGCCATTAATTTTTTAACAATGACAGATTTCGTGGTAAACGTCAACTAACCCGTCACAGGTTTCTTGATACAAAATAATGTTTAAATTTTTAGAAATTGTCAAATATCTTGAAAATTATCAACTTAGGGTATAGGAATAGTTACATCTATCAAAATTTTTTTTTTAATTTACTTTTTGATTATCTAAAAACATACCGGGTGGTACATTTAAAATAAAAAAGTTATGAACGTTTCAAGTTAGCTTAATTTGCCCTGGATTTTCACAGGTAATTTGTTAAAAAATTGACATGGAACCTATTCCAAAAATTGCACCCCCATATCCGCAAACCTAATGACAAAAAAGTTATAGGCTATTTTAAACTGATGCTCATTTGTCAAATTGTATCGAAAAAAATTAATGACTTGAGAACTATTCATTTAGGTATAGGACATGGTATAGTAATTTTACTCAGAATTTTATGTAGAGTTTAAAAAGGTAAAACAATATGGGGTGTTTTATTTGAAATAACAAGTTGATGTCACTTCCGGTTAATCCGCATTTTGTTCAAAATATTAAAAAAATTGACCACGAATGTGAAACACCCTGTATAGGTACAGGGTAAATAATAAACATTGGAAAAAAAATTGAGATGAAATTCCTTGCAAGATATGAAAAGATGAAATAATTATCTTTTTCTTACCAGCTAATTATAGTTAAGAGGGTAATTCTAGCAATAGTAATATTTTTAAATAAATCTGTAAATCTACTCATATCCGATTCTTCTCTTTTTTCAATATTTTGGATTTTTGCAACCAATACATCTGGGATTCTGGTTTTGTTGGTTTTGGCAATTTTTTGAAGTTCTTCCAACGATCTTTTTACTTTACCCTGGTTAAGTAACCATCTTGGTGATTCTATCATGTAACTGAAAAAGTTTAAACATACTTTTTATTAATTAATGATCGTTTTATTTTATAATGGTAATTTTAAAAACAAAATTAAAATAAAAATGTGAATGATTTTATTGCTTTAGTGCGACTTATAAATTTATACTTTTTAAAAAGTTATCTTACCCTCTAAAAACAAAAAATAACAACAAAGGTGCTGTAGAAAATAAAACTAGAGGCATCCAATATCGAAAATATGAATAAACAAAAGCTAATAAACAAAATCCTGTTGTATAAGCTACACATTGTAGACATGATATCATCGATCTTTTTTCATCTTTCGATATTTCAAATCCTATTATAAGCGATACTTGATATACAGCATTTGATGAAAAGCTAATCAAAAGTAAGGAAAGTATAAACAGCGGGTATCTCGATGTGGTTATTAATGTTAACATTCCGCCAATAAAAAGAGTTGCAACTGCTGAGTAAAAAGCTGGTTTTCTACCATATCTAGAACATATATTTATTTGATAATGTTGGAATAAAATTAATGATTTATGACGGTACCTATCTCCAACGTAGCCTAGGCTTAATGTACCTAATATTTCTCCCACCTTGCTAAATTCAAATGCGTGAGTAACTTTCATGCTGTTGGCACAAACCCAATTTTCTTTTGATGATACTGTTTCCAAATACCAAGTTTTATCGTATTCATATCCATTTTGACAGGCTTAAAATGCATATATTTTGTAACATGGTGTGACGAAAGTAGGTAAATGTTATTATTTTTATATTTTTTTCACGAATAAATTTGGATTTAAGGATTACTTTTTAATACACCGGAAGAACATTTAAGTCAATTAAAGGATCTAGGATTTAGGTTTTGGACTGGCTTGACTCAGCTGAGGGTAGGATAATCCTACTAGGATTTATCAAGGTAAACACTAAAAACATTGATCAATGCTTATTTTTTTATAAATCCAGAAATAATTTTCTTCAAAGATCGTAATCATGTAGGAACCTTCTTAAAGAAGGCGAAAAAAATATAAAATTATAAAATCTGTGAGTCAAAAAGAAAGCGTTTTATGAAATATGTTAAAATTGTTCTTATTAAATTACATAATATGCGATTATGAACATATAAGTTTTTTCTCATCAATTACAGACACCCTGTATATCTAGAATTATAGAATGTATAAAAAGTTGGGTTGGCAATAAGAATTGAAATTGTGTTTATGCTTTACTTTAATGTTTACTATTGACTTTTCATGTAATTTTTATTGCAGTGAATAAACGTTTATTATTATTTACGAGGGGTAAACCAGTGATTTTTTAAAGTTAAAAATTGCTTACGAATTAACGGCTAAGGATAACAATAACAAGGGTAGTCATGTACAACGCGTCGCTAAGCACTGATTAAGCACCGATTAAGCAAGTTTTCCTTATTGATAACGACTGATAAGGAAAAAACTCTCAACACATGTGTTGCAACGTCCACTAACATTGAACGTTGGTCTCTAATGTGGTTTACCCGTCGATTATTTATTATTATTATTATTATTATTATTATTAATGAAATTGAAATTATCCAAAATATATCATCTCTTCACTCTGCTTTATTTCGAATGTGCACCTCGACAGACAACCTGTTTCAGACTTTTGATCACCATCAGTGCCGGGTAGCCCTGTAGCGCAAACCACATTAAAATAAAATCTCAGCGGCAGCAACCGTTCTCAGCGCCATCTACCCTCCACCAGAAGTATTTTAGTCAAAAAGGCGAAAGTAGGAATGAAGGTTAAGTAAATTAATATATTTAAATATACTTACTTGTTGTCAGATTATTTTCATCATACATGAGGCATTTGTCGTAAGAATTTTTTGAATAATCCCTAAAATTTATTGAATGCTTTGATTTGATTATTAACTCTTTACGGCGCGTACAGACAAATAACAAAACACTGTAACAAAATATTTGTTAATGTTAACCAAATATTAACCAGATTTTATGTTAATCCAGGTCCACATAACTTTATGTTAAGTTTACAACCAACTGTAATCTGTAATCTAATTAAATAAGTAGTTTGGAACTATAACAAACATTTTGTAAACCCAGTAACAAAAGTATTTGATGGAAATTGGGAATAAAATAAAAATAAAAAGAATTTTTATAAGAAATGTTGCTTTATGAATCAATTTCCTAAACAAAAATAACATATACACAATTAAATAACACACCATTCTGAAATTATCAAATTAGGAAAAAAATTGGTACAATATAATTATCAATACTATAATAAAATTATCAGTACCTACTACTACAACACTTACTGATGTATTTAGTATATATACGTTATAAGTTTAACCCACTTCACTGTATCCCCTAATTTCAGTTTAAAAACCAGTGATGGCATCTTTTTTTTAGTATTTTGCACACTCGTTAAATAGGTATACCTTATATATAAGGAAACAACAATAACAGATGTCTGGACCAGAAATTCTGGTAATATATTATAAACACTCTGTACAGTGTTAAAGAACACGTTACGAATTAGAATAAAGTAAGCAGAAACATAAGTTGCAGACGCTGAAGTTGAACTTTGATTGATGCGTATTGTCAGTGGGAAATGTTTTGATTGACTTCCTGAAATCACGTGTACTTTTTCACCGAAATAATTTGTTAAACAATAAAAAAATAATCTGTAACCTTTTTCAGTCACGTTAGAGTACTCGTCAAAGTTAGTCGCATCTTACCATATTTGACAAAATAAACAAAGTGCACCAGTAACATTAAGACAATAGTAACAAAAAAAAAAACAAAACAAAACCGCCCCAATTCTTAACGCGGTCAGCTGACTAGGACAATAAATCTATCAATAACAAACGACCATGACTAAACCCTTAAATTAAAGAAAACGGCCCCAACAAACAAAACGTTCAACGAAACGATACCAAATAAACACTTCACTCTTAGAAATTCAAAACGAACATTAAATTAAGAAAACATAAACACAAAATATAAACACACAAACCGAAATCTAATGGAATTGGTAATTACTCAGAGCTGGCCAAGTACTGAGTACTTTTACTCGTATTTCAATTACGAGTACGAGTACTTTTTTACTCATATGTATTTTTCATTTGAAATACTTATTACTCGTACTTACAAACCAAATTCAATGTACTCGTAAAAAATACTCGTGGAATTCACGAGTAATATATACGAGTATTTTCGTTTATTATATGGATGACTTTTTGCCAAAATATCGTAAGCATCAAAACATTTTGTTTGGAAGTCTGTTTTAAATTATAAAATATATAGTACTATACTTATAATATAATAATAGGTTTAATAACAAGTAAATAGGTAAAATTGTAAACTATTTAATAATTGTTATTATTATATGTACATAATGTTTAAAATAAATAATTTTATAAATTTGTATTTGTATTTTTATAGCTCAGGACCAAAGTATGTATAATGTACACTCTCTAAAAATGAATTACTCAAAAATGACTAATTACCACAGTTATTCGTGGAGCAGTTTTTGAGATATAGTCAATTTCATATAATATGGAAAATGCACTATATCTTAAAAACTCTTCTACTTTTCTAACTTTTGATGACATTTTCGGATTCAGGGAACAATTTTACAAATTGACTGCTAAATGTTAAAAATACAAATTGCTATTGACGAGAATTATTAGTGACTGCTTTTTCACTATGACAATTAGTCATTTTTGACTAACCCATTTTTAGAGAGTAAAGAATAATCAATCATATTAACTAACTTTTTTTTCAAAAGTACTCGTACTCTTTACTCGTGTTTTCACGATTACTACTCGTAACCTCTCTTTACAAATATACTTACGAGTAAATATTTTAAGTACTCGTACTTAAAATTTTACGAATACTTTTTTTAGTACCCGTGACCAGCTCTGGTAATTACATTAGTATACAAGGAAAGTCAAAAAATACCTTTCACCGGTAACTGTCTAATCGCATCAATTGCACACCAACTATTTAATACAGAGAGTGCAACGCGAAAGAAAACAGCCGAGACCAGACAATACCAAGTGCAGGAACAACACCACTTTGACACGGACACAGACAATAACGGTCAAGACGTTGACCACGACCAGCGAACTAACAACTCCCCAACTCCAAACAGTAATCTCAATGTTTGGAGTAATACTAACTTCCCGGTCTAGGGGGTTCCGCGTCGTATGCAGATTTGCGTCGGCGTAATTGTCCCCTAAACACCAAAATGTCTATCCCTCCCATCCTACCTTCTTCATGATCCTACTGCTCGTATAGCATCGGCCCGGCGAAAACTATTGGCATTTCGCTCTCGAGCCCCAAATAGGGTACAGTACAAGACGCAATGGACCCAGCAAGCACGGGTGAAGCCGTGTCGGTGCTGGTGGCGGAAATAAATCGGCGTAAGGTAACAGAGGCCTGTGCGGGGTCCGGGAGTGATGAGGCAATGGGACTCATACTCACAAAATAATCTGTAACCTTTGAAGTTAACAAAATGCTTACAAAATTGCATATTACCTTTACAAAACTTTCGGTAAAATATTTTCCTTTGTTTCCTGGTTTGTAATTATGTAAAAATTTTACAAAATAAAATTAACAAACTACAAGCCAGAGTATCTATAATCATCTGATTAAGGATGCTCGAAGAGAATCGCGAAGAGACATGTGCTCACAAACAAGCACCATGTCAGACACGGCAAAGCTAGCTAAGGTTTTAGCTGGCACGCGGGGTGAGGACCTTAGATTCCTTAAAAAGGATGATGGAGGGTATACTCAGACACCGGTAGAAACGCTTAGGCTGCTGATGAAGAGCAACTACCCGGACTTTTCGGAGGGACCTGTGGCGGGGAACTATACCCGCCGGGTAAGCTCGGAAAGGTGTTGGGGACTGGCAGCCAAAGTGGTTGATGCGAGGAAGGTTAAGGCTGCTGTGGAATCTTTTGAGCTCTACAAATCGCCTGGTCCCGACGGTATCTACCCGGTTGTCCTAAGAGAGAGCCTGGAGGTGGCGTTGGGTGCGCTGGTGGGGCTCTTTAGAGGGTGCATAGCGGTCGGACACACCCCGGAAGAATGGCGCAAAGCCAAAGTTGTATTTATCCCAAAAGGAGGCAAAAAGGGTTATACAAGTGTAAAGGACTTCAGACCAATAAGTCTTACGTCCTTTCTCCTGAAAACTCTAGAGAAACTGATCGACAGGTTTCTGAGAGCGGGTCCTTTGAAAGGCTTGCCCTTTCACAAGGAACAACACGCTTATCAGAAGGGTAGATCCGTGGACACGGCACTTTTATCGGTTTGCAACTACATAGAAGAGCAACTGGAATGGAAGGGCGTTTGCATAGGCGCCTTTCTAGACATTGAGGGGGCGTTTAATCGCACCTCAAAAAACGCCATACGGCGAGGTGCAGAGGAACATGGAGTGCCCGAGGGCATTATCAAATGGATAATGTCAGCACTATCGGGTAGAATTCTCAGCACTAGCTGGCAAGGTCAACAATTGGAAGGCAATGTGTCAGAAGGATGTCCGCAGGGCGGAGTTTTATCCCCACTACTGTGGTGCTTGGTTGTAGACAGCTTGTTAAAGCTGCTAAACAAAGACGGCATACTATTGGTTATGCAGATGACATTTGTCTCCTGGTCAGAGGCCCACATGAGGAAACACTTAGGGACCTAATCCAAGGGGCTCTTAAAAAGGTACTGAGGTGGTGTGCTGAGAAGGCCCAAAAGACAGCGGTCGTAAGTTTGCGAGGAAATACAAACTCAAAAAACTGGCAAACGTTACGATCGGTCAGCTGCAGATTTCCTTTTCTGAAGAGACCAAATATCTGGGAGTCATCCTAGATAGAAAGCTCTTATGGGGGAAACACTTGCAGGATAAATGCCAAAAGGCAATGATCACCTTCTGGCAGTGTAGAGGGGCCATGGGAGCGAAGTGGGGCTTTGGTTCACATCAGATGATGTGGATCTACCAGGCAATCATTGTTCCCAGGCTTGTTTATGCAGCACCGGTCTGGTGGAAGCGTACTTTGCTAAAGACCGCTCGCGGAATGCTGGACAAGGTACAAGCAGCTTTTCTCAGAGCTATATGCGCTGTGAGAAGAAGCACCCCGAGCGCAGTGTTAAGAGTCTTACTAGACGTTCCGTCGCTGGCTTTGGATAGCAAGGCTGCGGCGATGCGAGCGGCTTACAGACTTCACTATGTGGGTGAATGGAGAGATAGCTTCATACATCTGAAGCTTCAGAGAAGCTGTCCTAAAGAAATATGGAATATACCGCAGGACAGGATAAAAACCCAGCTAGGTGAAGGGGTGTGTTTCAAGGTACATATCCCCAGTAGAGAGCAGTGGGAGCAAGGCTTTGGTCCAAAACATGGAAGCATTTGGTTCACAGATGGGTCAAAGACGAAGGAAGGAGTGGGAGCCGGGTTCTGTGGCCAAAAGTCGGTGGACAGCTTTGTCTACAGACTTGACAGACACAACACGGTCTTCCAGGCGGAAGTTCTCGCCATAAAAGAATGCGCGAGGGTTCTGTCTGAACGAGGTACAGGTGGAGACATCTGGATTTGCTCAGACAGTCAAGCTGCTCTAAAAGCCTTGGTTAATGAGTCTTTCTCATCCAAGCTGATAGAGGAAACCATCCTGGCACTCCAGCGAGTCGCTAGAGGGAATCGGCTCAACCTTGCCTGGATTCCAGGTCATGCCGGATGGAAAGGCAACGAAAGAGCCGATGGATTAGCAAAGGAGGGCACCACTCTATGTGGTCCTCAAGAGAAGGTAGTGGGCATGCCGTTCAGGGAGGGCGTAAACCTCATTAAAGCATGGACAAAGCGCCAACAGGCGAGAGAGTGGCAGCAAAGCCCGGGATGCAACACAGGCAAGACCCTTATGGGCAGCGGTGTAGAAACCTGGTCGGTAGAGCTCCTGAAGCTGAGCAGACCAAAAATAAGGGCTGTTGTGGAAATCGTTTCCGGCCACAACAATCTAAACAAGCACAGATACGTGATAGGAAAGACGACATCTCCACGATGTGAAAGATGCGAGGAGGAGATTGAAGACTCCCAGCACTTTTTGTGCAAATGTGTAGCACTAGCGAGGACCAGATTCGTGGTGTTTGGGCAGACGGAGATCCATCCGGAGCAGGTTAGGGAGCTAAGTGTGGGACAGATATTAGACTTCTGCAAAGAAGGACAATATCTTCGGCAGCCCTAAGGTAATGCGGGGGGAATAGAGTACAAGAGTCTCATCGGCTAGGTGCTCTGAACTGTGCGTGCATAGCCCCTTGAGAGTACATAATAATAATAATAAGCTTATGTTAACAAATCTGATTTTTATAACAGTGTAACGCCGCGGCTATGCGTAACCAGTTTGGACGCCTCTCCGCAACAGCGTAACAGACGTCCAAACTGTTGGCTTTAAGTTACGGTGTTCTGTTCTCTGTCTGTACGCACCTTAATATGTAGGACCTACATTATAGGAATTCCGTTGAAATTATACTGACGTCATTATGAGCTCATCTCATGATTTCTTTTAATGACATGATTTTTTCATAATGTGTATATATTTTTTTAATTTTACGCTTTGAGCATGCGCACAGTGAAACGGTCATATGGTTAATTATTATTATTTGTTAACCTCGTTTAACAGCAAATCGTAAAATGATGTTAAACTTATTTATTTCTACACTGTTTAAATTTTCATTCGTTGGTCCGGTGTAAATTCAAATACTAAAATGGTGTTAATTTAACTTTCACACAGTATTAAAATAAATTTTACCTGGTGTAAATTTAACTCCTTTTCAGTGTTAAATATTATGTGTTTGTGGTCAAATTAAATCATACTACACAAAAAAAAAAGAAAAAAAAGGAAACAGGAAGTTCCTTGACGCAGTACTAGTATATTACCAGTGGTATTATTCCAGAAAATGGAACCTTTAACTCGCTAAAGATAATGTTTTTAGTGCGTTCCACTAACTTAAAATACTTCAAGTATTGACAGCTGTTTCCACCTATTTAAGGTCTCTTTAGTATCGAACAACTTGTAGTGTCACACCAAAGCAAAGGACTACCTGAGTTTATATATTCTTCATGCATGAAGAATATATAAACTCAGGTAGTCCTTACATGTAAGTCAACAGAGGCGAGATTTAAGAACATCACGTGATCCACACCGCCTTTGCCGCGATCGGTACACATTTTCAACCATAATTCATGGTGTTATATTAACACAACTTGGTGTTGGATTTTGACACCATTTTAAGATTACTTTTTACACCACGGATATTTTAAACAGTGTACATACTACTTCTACTTACTTGTGCATGCACATTTCGTAGCATCGGTATCGGTGTTCATGATATGAGCTCATGATGACTTAACAATAAAAAGTCATCTGTATGTTATGGACTTAGGACAGCAAAGAGAAAATCATGAAATAATATCGTAATGATTTCAACCGAAACTCAGTGGTAATAATTATTTATAAATCAGTGGTAATATCTACTGACTAAATTTCATTTTGTTTTGTACGCAAATTTTTGAAATAAATATTAATTAGGAAATTATTGCTAAAAGCTTATTTAAATGAGTAAAATCTGTATACCTAAATTTATCTTATATTTAGGAATAAACATAAATACAGTTAAATTATATTTACCATGGTATATGAATCGCCTTCCATTCCTTAAGAGTATAGTTGTTTATTCCTGGAACATAGCACCAATGATCAGGTACTGCAAGTATGAGCACATAATGAAAACACGACATTAAAGCTACTATGATAAATATAAAATTATATTTAAAATTGAAAATATTTTGAAATTTGCCATAACTATTAATTTCAAGTAAAATTTCATCGTATATCTTATCACTTTCGCTCATGTCGATACAATTTTGAGTTTTATTTTAAAATTTTTATTACTTGTTCTATTTGTGTATGATTTAGTTATCTTCTTGCCAAAAAAAAACAAAGATTTAACAAAAATTTGTAAAATAAATGTTTGCTTTTGGTTTAAGATTTGTGTATACTTATATATATATACCTAGTATATAGGTATAACCATGAACAAATTTAATGAAAATATTAAAAAAATATTTTAAAACATGTCATCGTAATCGTAAAAAATATTGTTTCTATATAAATTAGTTCAGATTAGTTTAGATTTTTTGTCAAGGTGGGGTAAGGTTTCGCGAAAAGACCCATTTTTGGTACTGGGTATTTCCCCGAAACCTTACCCCACCTTTACAAAAAATCAGATGTGTTATTTAACAAAATAACAACTATATATAGTTGTTGATATATATATCTGAAGTCAAATAGTTTAATTGCGACGTAATTTATAACCTTAAAATATGCGTACATTGTGATGCTAAGAAGCTAACATTAAGAATAAACAAGGAAGAGTTTCAATACTCGATAAAATGTTCAAATGTCGCACCCGTTACATTTTACAATTTTAGAAAATAAAGTACCTATACAATATTTGTGCATTTAAAATACGTGCTTGTTAAAGGTTACTATTCAAGTTTTACAAAAAAAAATATTACTATATTATCCAAAATTTTACAGTATCAACTTTAGAAGCCATTTGTAGATTTTCTAAGGTCGCGCCCGTTACGCTATGCATGGCGTTATAAAAGGTTTTCTATACAAGTTTTTATTGACATTTTGTTTGAGTTAAATACCTAATTTTTTATACTATTTTTGTATATTAACATATCTTGATGTATATGAAAAAAACGCAGTTTTAGTGTCGCACCCGTTACAATGGAAATACTTTAAACTTAATGTGTTTTACAATAATTCATATTTTCTATGACCGTATAAGTCAAACTACACTACTCAAAAGAGTCTAGGGATATTCTAAATAATTATATATAAGTTAAAAAAAGACGCACAGTATAAATACATTTTATTAAATTATAAATTCATTGTTTGTTACTGTGTACTTTTACAACATTAATAATTTTTTTTATTAACCAAACAAAAAACATGTCGATGTTTTGCAAAACACTACTTTTTGCATAAGGAAATAATTTTACGTTTTTCATTTTAAAGACAGTATTTAAAGTGTGCTTGGTATATTCACTATGCAAAGAGTTCATTTGACCGAAGAACAGCGGTTACGCGCTGTTGGAATGCTCGAAGCCGGCCAAAACCAAGTGCTAGTAGCAGATACTATAGGCACCTCTCAAAGTGTTGTTAGTCGCCTTTGGAGTAGATATTGTGAGACAGGGAGTGTAAGTGAAAGACACCCAGGCCGTGGAAGAATAACTACCCCAGCGCAAGACCGGTTTGTACAACTACAAGCAAGAAGAAACTCAAATTTGACCGCTACACAACTGGTACGAAATTTACAGCAGACCCACAATCTAACCATTTCCGGTCAAACCATAAGAAATCGCCTACATGAGATTAATCTTTGGAGTAGACGACCTTTGAGAGTTCCACCACTAACCAGGGGCAATCGCAGAGCACGGGATATCTGGGCTAGAGAACATCTTGCATGGACAGATGAACAGTGGAGTCATATCTTATTTACAGATGAGTCTAGATTTGGAATTTACCCGGATTCAAGAAGAATACGAGTCTGGAGACAACCAGGAGCCGAAAACCGTCTTCGTAATGTTCAAGAGGTTCATACATTTCAAGGTGGAACAATTATGGTTTGGGGCGGAATAACATTAGGCGGAAGAACAGATCTCGTTCGATTAGAAGGAACATTAAATTCAGTCGCATATATGGATTTGATACTCCGTCCTGTCGTTATTCCATTCGCACAAAATGCAGAGCCCGAATTTTGTTTAATGCATGATAATGCACGCCCACATACCGCAAACGTTGTTAGAAATTTCCTTCGAACTAACCAAATCCCTGTTTTACCGTGGCCTGCTCAGTCGCCAGACCTTAACCCGATTGAGCATGTCTGGGATATGCTACAGAGAGGCGTTCTAAGGGTTAATGATTACTTTGAGAACCAAGAGCAGCTCTTTAATTGCCTTCAAGACGTATGGACCAGATTACCTCAAAATGAGCTAGATAATTTAATCCTAAGTATGCCTCGTAGATGTAGAGCAGTTGCAAACAGTAGAGGAGGTCACACTCGGTACTAAGAACACAAGCTTTTATTTTTTTCGTATTGATTTTGTTAATTCATTTATAATAAATTTTATTAATCAAGTTTGTAATTTTTATTTGCGAAGAATAAAAATTGTTACCACCTAAATTTTGATTTATTTTATATTGTTAGGACTTTTTAATTGAAAACAATTACAAAATAAAATAAAAAAATTAATAAAGAAGTTTTTAATTTCACTTAATCATAATATCCCTAGACTTTTTTGAGTAGTGTATTTGTTTTGCCATTATTAATTAATATTCAACAAAAATGGCGTAAAGTAATTTTGTTTGCAAAGTTCCCAATAGAACCATTGTATTAAGCTAGAGTAACAGCAAAGTCGCCGTGACCTCTTTCGCCACATCATAGTTACCGCTGCTAATTTTGGCTGTCACTTCGCGAAATAGCTTAACCTAACCTAACTTTTACACCCGCGGTTGATACGCTAGAGCGTAAATAAAAACAGTGTTTGTGTGCCTAATAAATAAAAGAAATAAAAATGTTGTATCAGAAAAACATATATTTAAACAATTTTCAAATCCATTGTACCAAAACTGGCCATTTATTCCCATGGTTTGCAACTGTACTACTTTTGGTTTTTCAATAGCACACACTACCTACTGCGAGGGGTCAACCACTAGCCAAATATTTGTACACGTATTGCCGAACTGCCTATACTGCCAATTACTGCCAATTACTGCCTTTACTGCCTACTTACTGCCTATGCTGCTTATGTTGCTTATACTGCCTTTACTGCCTACTTACTGCTTATACTGCCTACTTATTGCTCTTACTGCCTATACTGCCTACTTACTGCCTAGTTACTTTCAACATTGCCTTTACTGCCCACACACTGTCCATAGTTTTACATATTTGTATATTATGTCTTTACCTGTGAATTATGAATGTATGTTTATCAAAAAAAAACATCCGAATTTTAAGAATTTAATTTATTGTCCCTCTTTTACACTTTAAAACCTTAAAATATTTTAAGACAATAAATTAAATTCTTAAAATTCGGATGTTTTTTTTTTAAACATTAAATATATATATATTAACACACAGTTAAACTAATAAGCAAAAACACACAAATAAGTTTGCAAAATTAAAACTGAGATACCTCGGAACGAGCATCGGAAGATTAAATAGCCAAAATTCTACTATTTAAATTAGTACCAGCATTTTTACTAATAAAATAGTCGTTTTCACTTTTAAATAGTTATTTTTTACTACGTAAATAGTTAATCTTTGACTATTTCTGCGGCCAACAACAAAGTATTATTTTAATTAAATGCATATATATAGGCTCCATGGTTAAATGGCCCATAAAATCAATCAAATATGCAAAAAGTTTAGCTTAAAACAGCAACACAAATAATATATTCAACTTTAAAATATTAGGTATATAATTTTTATAAGAGCGGCTAATAGCCACATTGGTTATGACAACAACTTGACAAGCTTGACAAGTGACAGACCTGAGTTCAATACCCGGCTGGGTCAAAACTTTTTTAAATTTAAATCTACTAATTTGACTATTTTATTCAGTAGAATTTGACTAATTATTAGTGACTGCTTTTTCGCTATGACAATTTGTCAAATATAACTTATAATTAGTTATATTTGACTAATTCATTTTAAGAGAGTACGTTAGGTGAGACTTAAATGCTGAATATTACCGAATTACTGCCGATACTGCCCATGTACTGCCGAAGTACTGCATGTACTGCCGAAGTACTGCTCCCGTACTGCCTATATTGCCTATTTACAGCTGCATACTGCCGATACTGTCGAAGTATTGCCGTCACTGCCTTTGTACTGCCTTTGTACTGCATACAATTTGTGCACGTATTGCCGACAGTGGTTGACCCCTCGACCTACTGCTTTAACATTTTTATTGGTCAATTACAAATCACAAAATAAACACACTTACTTTGCAGTAAATGAGACATTGAGGTTTCAAATAAGAAGTCGCAACAACGTCGTCATCATCACATATTCAATATTCAATATTCTGGGTATCTGCGACGATGCCAAAACAAAGATAATTACTTTGATGTAATGCCGGCTTTGTAGTTATATGCTGGAAGCATAAATTACTACCGATTAAAACTTCAAAGTTCCGAAACTTTGCGGTATTCTACGTAGTAATGACGACATAAAGCTTACTTCTAGTTCACGAAACAATAAAGTAGTAAGTGAGAGTAAAAATTAAGTGATTATAACCACAAAAATATAGAACATAGTATTTTTAACTATAAAGTAAGAAAATTGGGAGAAACTACGTAGCGACGTCACAGATATAGTTTCGGTCCCCGTTAAGGCTATTTTGGTGCTAGTTGGTGCGCATGGTCATGCTCCTCACGTTTATTATTTTTTCTACTCCCACCTTTAAAACGTCTATTATAGTACATGTTTCCATGAACACTAAGTTACCCTTTTATACACATTGACAACTTGTGACTTTATGACGTTTTAGTCACGGGCTGGAGTTAGCAACAGGTTTTTATTCACGGGCTGAAGTTAGCTTTAAGTTAGTTGGCAGTTGTCAAATGTCATACATTCGTTAAAATAAAGTGCCCTACTTGTAAAATAATTCTAAATGTAAAAATTATTTTATTATCTTACCAAAAAAATACAACAGTTTTTAATACTTTTGCAAGCCAATATTTGAGAAGTTTATATGAACATATACTAACATTTTAATTTCACCGGCAGTAAACTAGATTTAACTTAATTTTGGGCGGAGACTCCACCGT